GAGGCATTCTGTTTAAGTTCCAATTGTAAAGTCATCGCCAATAAAACACCCCCTTTTGGGACTTTGTTTCAAGAGGTTTGTTCCTTACACAATCGTCTGATCCCTTTTTAATTGTTAATGACAACCTGTGCGAAACAAGTCCCAAAATCCAAAGCAGTATGTAAATACTGACAACAAAGATTGGCATGGCAAAGAAAAATTGGTACCACCCATCTCAACCGCTATTACAAAGTATGTGCAGCCAAACACGGACTTATTCCAGGCTGTCAAACACAATTGCAATTTGGCAGTCCAGACGCCGGTGGTTCTGCTGCACCCCTATCCACATGGGTGTATTCGGAGGAGAGAGCTCGAACCGGAATGGTGAAGCTTGTTGCTGGTGCTTAGCTGTCTTTAGCATTAATTGACAACCAACACTACGTCTCGTATGTTAAAGAATATCAGCAGTCAAGGTACGTTGGGGTAAGTTGAAACACTCTTCGTTTCGATACAATACAATATTTTACTGAAACAAAACAACAATTAATTATGGATTTGCAAAAATATGGGGGTGTCATATCTTTAACTTCGGATATATGGGAAGTGATTAATAAAAGAGCATATATAACTGCAACTGCACATTATATAGACCTACTTTGGTGCATGCATAAAAAAATTATTGCTTTTAGAATTATTGAGTTTCCTCACAACGCTAATAATAAATTTAATGCTATTATTAGTATTGTTAGAAAATATCATTGCGAAAGTAAAATTTGTTCATTTACTTTCGATAATGCTAGTGTTAATAAAGTAGTTGCCGATAAATTGCATAGGGTACCGCAACCTGATTTTGGTGGGTATTTGTTTCATATTCGTTGTGTATGTCATATTTTGAATTTAATTATCTAAAATGGTTTAAAACATATAAAGGATGAAGTTCAAAATATTAGGAACACACTAATATATATCACAATCTCCTCAAGTAGAAAACAAGCATTTGAGGATTATTGTGCCGAAATAAAAGTGCAAAATGCTAAAACATTTGTTAGAGACGTAGGTCATAGGTGAAATTCTACTTACTTGTTATTAAAGTCATGTGAAGGTTTTGAACATTTAATAACTAACTTTTATAACAATAGACATATTAGAAATGATAACGATGGTATGTTAACTGAACGTGATTGACAAATAGCTTTGAAAGTTAAAAGATTTTTGACATCTTTTTATGAAACCACTAAAATTTTATCGGGCGTTTACTATCCCACCAGCTATATGGTGCTTGAACGTCTTAATATAATTGCAAGAACATTTCATAAGTACAAAAATGACCTTGAGTTTAGTGAAATTATAATTGCTATGGAATTAAAATTTAGAAAATATTGGGAAGACTTGCCTATGTTATTTCCTTTAACATACGTGATGGACCCCGATATAATTTATCGGGAACTAAATATATAATTGATCAAATTTCAAACGCTTTAACATTTGATACACCAATCAGATATAGAAATTTAGAGCAAACATTATGTGAAATGTATGAATTATATGCGAATCGAATGAGTACCAATATTAGTCGGGTACAATCTGCACCTACTGCTTCCCCTGAAATTGAAGAAGAAGATGCAGAAATATTTAATTTATTTCAAGGCATTAATTCGTATAGATATGATTCATCTGCAATGTGTTCATCTACTGTCACTGCCATGTCGTCTACATCTGTATCTCATTCTCATCAAACATCTACGGGCTCAAGTCATAATGTATTTCCTGCTGAATTAATTGATTATTTTAACCAGAATATGCCAACAGATAAAACAATTAAAAGAAGTTCAAATGAAGTAATTGAATTCTGGCTAAAGTATGAACGACGTTAGCCAGTTATATCTGCGATTGCAAAAGATCTGATGACACCTCCGGTTAGCACCGTTACTTCGGAATTTGCTTTTAGTGCAAGTAAAAGAGTTTTGAGCGAGGTCAGGAGTCGACTGAAAGAAGATATTTTAGAAGCGTTAATGTGCGTTAAGGATTGACAGGACGCTCATTTTCGACGACAAGATAAATATGCCGAAATTACATGTTGTCAAGTAAGTGATATTTGATTTAATTATATTGATGAAACTTTTATTTTCTTGTCGTTACTTTTAATTTTCTTTCAAAAATTGTACACGCTACAATAAATTGTTCGTGTACAATTTTTAATTTCACCTACTGAAAATTTAAATAGCCGGTCCCAAACCCGGATAAAGGAGGAGGGTTTATATTTTATCTATTTTAAAAAGAAAAATGAAAAAAAATAAAGATTTCATTTTTATTTATTTCTATCTCTTTTAGTTTAAAAAAAAGAAAAAAAATTATTTCCACCAATTTAGTTAAATTTTTGTTAGTACTTAGTATTATTACTACTATATATCTACATTTTAAATTCTTTTCTCGAACAACGCTGTGTGTACTTTTACATATAATTTTCGAAGTCAATACCTTCTGAAAATTAAAAGGGTAATCGAATGATTGCCCTTTCAATTGTTAGAAGTCTTTCACTTCGAAAATTATATATAATCTTCGAAGTGAAAGACTTCTATATAATCTTCGAAGTGAACACTTCTGACAATTGAAAGGGTATTTGATTTACCCTTTCAATTTTTAGAAGGGATTTATTTCGAAAATTATATGCAAGGGGACGCGCAGCGTTGCTTGAAAAAATAATTTTTAATGCTGTTTTTATCTCCGCCTACTCTAAATTTAAGTAGTCGGTCCCAATCCCGAATAAAGGAAGAGAGTTTAAATTTTTTACCTAATTTTATATATATATAAATTTTTTATATAAAAAATTCACGATTTAAAAATTAAAATTACTTTTTTTTTCCAATTTACCCATTTGTTTCCACAAAAAAAAAAAAAAAAAAAAAATGTGCT